GATTATAGCTGAGAAAGTGGCCAAAATAGAAGCTAATGAAATGAGCCTTGTATGGTCTAAACTATTATAATATATTACCAAGCCATGGTGGTCTCAAGAGTTAAAATCCATATGTACTTAGAAGGCACGAGCTATACATTGTAAGTTGTAGGTCATTCTCGGATTAAATTTTCCATTTCCTAACCAATGCTTGTTAAGCCTTCATATATTATACTTAGTGTAGATCTATTTAGCCTTAGCGGTCTGTGATGTGGCCGAAAAAATAGTTATAGATAGATCAGCCGCTAGTTTAGTTAAGTCATTAAGCCTTAGCGGCCCATCTGTAGTGTTGTATTTTAAAATCCTTGAGTTTAGTTTTGATCCAGTTAGATGTAATGGCCACGCACAGGTTATCCGTTAGTGGTTAGTACTTCCTTTGATATACCATATTCTATGAGTACGATCCATACGTCACTTACATATATGGAATTTCACTCAAATCCATATACATCACTCATTTGTTAATTGGAATAAAAAAAAAAGATTTTATTGTGTTACGTCATCGTTTGTATATTTATTTGTCCTCTATAAAATTCTGTGTAATGGTTGTTTATTTTGGAGATAAATAAATATTACTATTACTATTCAATAGCGTTTTCTTTCAATGAAACCAGTGTTGGACTGGTGCAAGGTCAATTCACATATTTTGGTCTGTAGTATCTCCAGTTTGGAGATTTCTCAATCTTTCGCAGCCACCCTGTATAGTTTGCTTTTTTCTTTGACAATAAGCTGCTGTTGTTTACTATTAATATGAATTATAAAGGCTGATGTTGTTTTTTCTTAGAAATACACTACTATTTAATCTCCCAACCTACCACATCACACGATTACACGCTTCAGTTGGTAGTTTCGGTTTCAGTTTCGACCGAAACCAAAACTTGGACCGAAATTTCGGTTTCGGATTCGGCTTAAATAAGGTAAATGCGGGAGAGATGCCGCGGCAGGAGAGACGCCGCGCGCTGGTTGTAATTTCCCATAGGCTCGAGAGATAATAATAATAATAATAATAATAGCTTTATTCTCCAACAGTTTCTTATTTATAGGACAATTTATAAACATAATACAAAAGCAAAAAAAAGCGAAAAGAAAACAACAAATGCAACACAGGTATAAATTTGTAGCATGAGCTATTGGTCCAAATAAACCTTAGCTGCCTTTAGCAGGTAATTAACATTTGTCGTAAATATATCACAGTAACATCCAGTTCTGTTTAAGTTAGAGCACATTAAATATAACAGTGACTTGAGAAGAATGTTTGTCCTAGCTCTAGGAAACCCGAATATTTTATGATTGCGAGATGCAAACGTTGGAGTACGAAGGTTGATCTGTTCCAGGATCAAGGGGCAATCAATTAAATTGTTGATCATTTTGTAGCCAAATATTATTGAGGCACAGTACCAACGTTTTTTCAAAGTCAACATGTCTAAGCGACTACATAGTTCCTCATTACTTGTACCTCTCTCTGGATGTGTCCCATCAATCCTAAACAGAACAAACTTCATAAACTTCCATTGTACTCCTTCAATAGCTGTGCTATAGCATTCATAGTAAGGGCTCCAAATAATACTACAATATTCGACTTTGGATCTAACATAAGCATAATATAATAGCTTAATAGACTTTATGTTATGAAAATTCCTGCAATTCCTTACTATGAAACCATAAGCCGCCAATGCTTCTGATGCTTTTTTATTTATATGCTGACTAAAAGTTAACTTTTGATCATAGTTTATACCTAAATCACGTACATCAGAGCATCTTTCTAGCACAGACCCATCAATAGAGTACGGATATTCGCAAACATTAATTTTCCTGGTATAGCTGACTATTTTACACTTCCTCACATTAAGCTCCAACTTGTTTTCTACACACCAAGACAGCACAAAATTTAGCTTGATACAATCATCAGGAGTATTTATCTGCGAATAAAGTAGGTAGTCAGCAAAGCATAGGCGTTCACATTCAACTGAGTCACAGAGGTCATTAATAAATATCAAAAACAGTAGTGGTCCCAGGTTGGACCCCTGAGGAACTCCAGAAGGTGCCAAGTAGGTCTCAGATTGGAAGCCATTTTAGCTAACAAATTGTCTACGATCGGATAAGTAAGATTTCATCAACTCCCTAGCATCATCTGTGAAACCAAGTGCACCTAACTTATTTAATAAAGTTTTGTGGTTAATTTTATCGAAAGCCTTCGAAAAGTCGGTATAAGTAACGTCAACTTGCTCATTACTATCAATGGCTTCCGAGAGGTACTGCGTTATTATAAATAGATTTGTGGTTGTTGAGCGATTAGCGACAAATCCGTGTTGATGCAATGACAGCTGACGCTGGACGGCAGTGTAAATGCGACTGTACAAGACTATTTCAAAGACTTTCGAGAACATGCATAATATAGAGATTGCCCTGTAATTCTTAATATTTGACTTATCCCCACACATAAACACTGTACAGACCTTAGCGATCTTCCAAATATCTGGAAATCTTTTGTTATAAGACGAATATTAAAAATCCTAGTTAGAACACCAACAAACACTTCCACATAATCTTTGACTATAAAGGACGGGATGCCATCTAGACCAGATGTCATCTTATCCTTTAGTGATTTAATGGCCTTCCTGACTTCATTTCCCTCAATTGGATGAAAATGGACAAATAAATTACTATGATTTAGTGAGGCATTATTATGGGGCTTGTGAGTGACATAGACGCTGCTGAAAAACTCACTGAATGCGTTTACTATATCCTGAGGCTGATCTATAGAATTATTTTGAAATTTCATTATCCCTGGGATTCGTGATGTGTTGTTTTTGGAGTGAACGTATGACCAAAAAGCATTGGGGTTAATTGTTAAAGAATTCTGGATATTTTCAATATATTGATCATACGCTGATTTAATCTGGTTTTTTAACAAGCGGCGCAAACGTTTGAATTCTTGTAGATCACCAACAAAAGCAGACCTGTTGATTTTTTTCCTAAATTTAGCTTTAAGTTTAATGTTCTTAATAATAGCTGAGTAAAACCAAGGCGGGTATCGGTGATTGTAATTCTTATACAGAGGTATGTGCCTGTCAAAAATTTGGAAAATGTTGCCATAAAATACATCAACAATATAATTAACATCAGAAGAGCAGAATAAAACATCCCAGTCAAATTGAATTAGCTCTTGATACAGGTTGACAAAGTCAGCCTTTCTGTAGTTATAAGTTATTTTACTATGATTGAATGTAAACTTAGGCTCTTTAATGAATATGGCAGTCAAGTCAACAGCTAGTACCGGGTGGTGACTATCTTCTGGCACTAGAGGTAGTTCATCACGCTTAACAGTACAGGGTAATTTAGAAATTACCAGGTCTAGCGACCGACCAAGTTGATTTAAGACATTATTTGACTGCTTATAATTAAAAATGTCAAAAAAATTATGGATAATGCGTGTCTTAGGGTCTAGAAGATTGCCATTTACAAGTTGAGGCACATTAAAATCTCCTAGAAACAGGGAATTACAGTTGTGCAAATAATCCAGTTGTCCAACAGCATCAACGAACGATTCAAATTCATCAACAGCAATTTTGTCAGGAATGTAAACAACAGCCACAAAAAATGTCTTATATGCCACATGGCATCTCACTATTAAGAGATCAATTGATGGAAATTGTGCATCAAATACAGCAACATCTATAACCTCAGATTTAATGCATTCCTTAACAGCTAGAAGCACTCCACCGCCACATTCCTTATCAACCAATGTCAACTTACTGTCCTTCCTATGAACAATATAAGAGTCAGGAATTAGTTCAGCACTTAAAACATTCCCATTCAACCACGTTTCACTTAATGAAACTAAGTCATATTCACTATCACTAATAGCCGGACTGATTATATGTAACTTGCTATTCAACCCACGAACATTTTGATAGTAACACAACAAACAGCGCGAGCTCGAACCAGCGAAACTGCTGGAACACTTCAGTTTAAAGACTTCACAATTTTTGGATTCCCATTAATATATCTAACCCAGAACTTCTGCGTGCCTTCAGCATTTCTTGCATTCAAATCCTCTTGCAACTTTTTGTAGTGGTCAATCTGCCTACGAGTACGATCAAATGAAAGCGATATCTTCGTGTAAGCGCTATTTTTCAAATTACTTGCCTTTTTAATCAGATTAATGACTTGAGTCTCGTTCTGTAAGACCACCTTGACTGGTCTGTTTTTCCCGGCGCCAAATTGTCCCAGTCTAATTACTGATGCATTTTGTAGCTGGAAATGAGGATCCACCACTCTAAAAATTTTCCCTACATTAACTTTATCCTTGTCTGCCCTGGCTTGCGGCTGGTCACTCTGATTTTGCGCCGGTAAGCCAAATACAATCATATTCCGCTTACGGGAGTTACGCTCGTTCATTTCTTCAATAATCTCTTCAAAATCAAAACCATTAGCTGGAGCAGCACACTTCAAAGCATTATGCAGCAGAGATGGAGCTGTTGCCGCAACATGTGGTAGATGAATACTGCAAAGTGACCGGTAGTTTGTGATTTGTGCCATCGAAGAGATAGTCGACAAAATATCTGGGATTTTAAGAACCGTAAGTAAACAATACGTGGTAAATATTTTAAGCATGATTTGGTTTAGGTGTATTGCAAATCATGCGCGTAGTATCTTGTGCCGTCATGGGTTTTGTTAGGACTGTAGCTCAGTATGGAGGGTGCTGTGTAAAAGTTAGGTTAATTTCGTTAACACTTCTAACAGACGGCAGGTGCGGCGTCTATCCCCACAAAAATGATGATGATGATGAGTCGCCGCTTTCGTTATCGGGAGAGAAGCCGTATTCGTTATCACATGACTTTTGCACTTCTGACGCTTCTAATGAAAAAAATGTTATAATAATAATTGAAAAAAATGAAAAAAGCTTTAATTTGGGAAAAGTATAACAATAATTTTTTTTATATTTTTGTCTATAGATCATGCCTCGTAAGCACATACGATCAAATACAGCTCGACCTAGGGCCACCTGGTCGGATGAGCAACTAATGGAGGCTGTAGCAAAAGTACAGACAGGAGTATTATCTAAAAGGGAGGCACACAGACGCTATAATGTACCCGCTCGTACCCTAAAAATAACATCTGGCAATTTCAAGAAGGGTGCCAGTGGCCCAGAAGGTATTTCTTTGAAAATAATTTTGTGATAAATCATGAGCATTTGTTTGTTTTAGGAATTTTGGGCATGACCAACGAAACAAGACTAGTTGCGGACATTCATCGTTTGTCAGTCGTTGGCTTTGCTCCAGACAGAAGCACAGTTACACTTCCGTTTAGGTTTGCTGAAAAGCTAGGGATAAGACACCCATTTTCAGCTGCAACAGAAAAGGCAGGATTTGCATGGCTTCATTCATCCTTTGACAGAAATCCTGAATTGTCCGTTAGGCAAGCTGAGGGTCTATCGTTGTCAAGTGTTCAGGGAATGAATCGAGAGGACGCTAGAAGATTCTTTGAGTTGCTGGATGAAGTTTTAACAAAAAATGGTCTAATGGAAAAGCCTTCTTGTATATTTAACATGGATGAAACAGGCGTGCAACTCCTAAATAAACCTAGTAAAGTTATAACGAAGAAAGGTAAATGTATTAACGTCGAAAGAACGCGGAGAGAATGTCACAGTGATTGCTTGCTGCAGTGCAGATGGCACGTTTATTCCTCCTGTTCTTATTTTTAAAGGGGTTAACAGAAAACCGGAGCTTTCAGATGGCTTGCCTCCTGGATCTGAGGTCTACATGAACAGAAAGCCTTCCTTCATTAATTCGGAGCTCTTCGTTCAGTGGTTGGTGGAGCAATTCATTCGACATAAACCAGCCGGCAAGTGCGTGTTAATTCTTGACGGTCACACGTCTCACAGCACAAATATAGAAAGCTTCAGATAGCGGATGAGAACGACATTATTATCCTTTGTTTGCCCAGTCACTGTACACAGGCTCTCCAACCACTTGACAGGAGTTTCTTTCGTCCATTTGAAGTTTATTTTAATCAAGAAGCTCACCTCTGGATGAAACACCACAGTAACAGAAACTTCACGAGTTACCAGGCTGGAGGAGTTATTGGAAAAGCGTAGATGAAAGCAGCTTGTTTAGCTAATGCTGTCAATGGGTTTAAAGTCACTGGAATTTATCCATTGGACAAAAATGCTATCCCGGATCATTCTTTTTCTGTGGCTGATTCCGCAGCTACTCCACCTGCATATGCACGTGAGAAAGTGGAGCCACTGCGGCATGTCAGTCTCGAAGTTGCAGTTGGGTTGAACCTAATTGATCCGGGTCCATCAAAAGAAACTGGTAATGATCAAGTTGTAGATAACATAGTAGAAGACGATAGACCTGAATTTACGCCAACAAAGCTTCTCCATGAGGCGTCTCCTGTTCCTGTGCTTCAAATTCTATTATTTGGCAGAAAAAAACAATTTGCGTCTGTTTTGAATTCGCCGCAAAATATTGAAACACTGAAACAAAACAATAAAACATCCAACGCAAGAGCAACAAAAAAAGCGGAAGGAAGGAAAAAAGATGACAGTGCTGGAGCTGGTCCCAGCAAGAAAATTGATAGGCATGTGAAAAAATACGCTTCTAAAGTAAAAACCTGCAATAACACCTGGAGTTCAGATGGTGATGTGCCCCCCGTGAAAAAAAAGAAAGCCACATCCAACGCAAAAGTCAGCAATAACTCTTGGACTTCAGATGATGATGAAATTCCCATGAAAAGGACCAAAAACGACGGTCATGATGATAATGAATATTTGTGCGTGGGGTGTTACGAACCTTACGAGCAAACTACGAAGAAAGTGGACTGGCTAAAATAATTAAAGTGTCAAATGTGGTTGCACGAAACTGGCACGATGTGTGGAGAGGTCTGTAGTGTGTGTTCTAGACAGAAACTACGCGAAAAAAACACCAAATACTCAACTTAAGGTATGCGGCATCTCCTTCTCCTTTTCCTGCAGCATCTCACCCAGATGGTCGGGAGAGACGCCGCTTTGTAAACACCAAAACAAAGTTTTTCTATATACAGGGTGTTTCAGTTTATTGTAACATAACTTTAAGATTCGATAGAACTTTTAAAATTAATGCATAAAGTCTATATAAACATTGGTCGAAAAATGCGTGGATTCCGAAATACAGGGTGTTTAAATTTACTTTCTAAAATAGTTTTTTTTAAATATTTCGAACAATATTTGATGTATAACAGTGAAAATTGGTGTACGATGGTCTTTTGGTACGACAAAACGAACCATGGGCATAGTTTTACTGTAGCCGCTAGATGGCGCTCTCTACTGTACCTGTAGTGTATTAAAATTACCGAAAACTTTTTCTTAGTGCAATTTTTTGCTTTTTGAATAAAAACGCTGATTCTTCGCACTTTTCAACATAAAAAAGCTTTCTTGTGAATTTTCGTTATAGTTGGCCGTTTTTGAGATAATTCGATTTTTAAGGTTCGATACATTTTTAATTATTTATGGGAAAATAATATTTTTTTTACATTTTCGATTTGGGCATTACAAGTAATTAAGATGATCGTTTAGATTGTGTTTTTAAACACAGCAATAATTCCTAACTCCAAATAAACACAAAAAAACAGAATATTAATTTGTTTAATTTTCCAATATTATTTTTAACAAATTAAATTAATTATTTACAACTAAAATGCTATTGGATAGTTAGGACAAACATATAAAATCTAAAGTAGTTGCTCGAAATGTAAACCCAATTGTTCAATACACAATTCACATCTACGAATGATCGAACGTGGTATAGCATTATTCAAATAGGGCCTTATTTCATCACATGCATTCCTGATTCTGTCTATTAGCATATCTCTTGTGGTTACGGGAGTCTGGTACACCTTTTCTTTCAGTAATCCCCACACAAAGAAATCTAATCGATTTAGGTCAGGGGATCGTGGAGGCCAGGCGACTGGTCCTCCACGGCCGATCCATCTTTCTGGATAATTTTCGTCCAGCCAGTTTCTAACTATTCTCGAATAATGAGCTGGACAACCATCAAGCTGGAACCAGGCCAATATTCTAAAATCTAACATAACATCATCCCACATATTTGCATGCCTTTAAAAATTCCAAGAAGGTCACAGCATTTAACCTTGCAGGCAAAAGGTAGGGTCGAAATAGTCGATTACGGTAGATACCAATCCACAGGTTCATAGTAAATTCATGCTGAAAATTTATTTCCAAACTGCATGCGGATTTTCATGCGACCAAATATGTTGATTTTTATAAAACCTACAAAAGAAAAAACAGGTAAAAGAAACTAAATTTCGTGCATTCACAATTGCAAAAAAACGTTTCAGGTTTCAACAGACAACAAAACTAACTATCAACTAATTGACGTTTAACCTTATTCTGCTTTCAATTTCAAAAATATTTGCAGGCACAGCCTACTTCTACAAATTATCGAGATACTGACTTTTTAACGTTATTTTACCATAAATAATTAAAAATGCATCGAACCTTAAAAATCGAAATATCTCAAAAACGGCTACCTATAACGAGAATTCACAAGAGAGCTTTTTTATGTTGAAAAGTGCGAAGAATCAGTTTCTTCATTCACAAAGCAAAAAATTGCACTAAGAAAAAATTTTCGGTCATTTTAATACACTACAGGTACAGTAGAGAGCGCCCTCTAGCGGCTACAGTAAAACTATGCCCATGGTTCGTTTTGTCGTAGCAATTGTATACCAATTTTCACTATTATACATCAAATACTGTTCGAAATATTTAAAAAAACTATTTTAGAAAGTAAATTTAAACACCCTGTATTTCGGAAGCCACGCATTTTTCGACCCATGTTTATATAGACTTTATGCATTAATTTTAAAAGTTCTATCGAATCTTTAAGTAATTCAACAATAAACTGAAACACCCTGTATATTCTATCAGAGTCTTATGTTTTATTTATACTCTTACTGAGAGTTTAAGACTTAAATTTATTTGTGTTAAGTTTCCAATGTTCAAAAATAAATAATTTCAAAAATATAACCTTTCCTTGAAATGTGCGGCAACTCTCCCGCATTTACCCTACTACTTTCGGCCGGACACTGTACAGGTATACCTTGTATATTACGCATACTGAGGTTCTGTAGGCAAGTACAGTCACCTGCATGATTCTACAAAGGAAAGGTCATATGCCATCTGTTCCATCGAAAAGAGTTCGAGTCGTAGCTACCATACATCGAAATTCTCTTCCTTAATTATACTTCTAGATGAGACGTCAACTCTAATCTATTTCACGGCAGGTAGCTCCGTAATAAGTATAATAATAAAATATATGTTCAAAGCCGTTTGAGTTTTAAGTGTGTGTGTGTGTGTATATATACGATAGCAACCGTGATGACACCGGCATATAATTGACTTCTGACCCCGGCTTCCTGTAACCTTTGACGTCACATCCGGTCAAATAGTCTCGTTACGCGTTCGTCTTGCAGGTATACCATGAATATTCAGTGGGAATCATAAAATTTACATTGTTAATGGAACTGAGGTTAAAAAACGGGGGAGAGCTCTTTATTCAGAATAACGGGGCCGCTTTGTGTTAACATGTTTCTTTCTGATACGTCTTAATAGAAGAAGAAAGTACCGTGACTTCTTGGAGTTGTGCCTGAATTTCTGTCATCTATGTCGCTAGCACAACTTTTCGATTTACAGGCATTGTTCCAAATGTTTATGCTTTTGTTGGATTTACTTCTCAATATCTAGCCAAAAAAATTGTTGGCCTTATTGTCAAATGCATGAAGACATTGAATCGTGTCTCTCCGTAGATATATTCATGAAAGCTAACAAACTTTTCTATTTCTTAGCTGAATGCTTGCGTTAGGTTTCTTTTTTTTACATGTTTTGTGCAGCCCAAATATAATTTAGGCTAACAATTTGTGATATGGAATATTAGTTCTTAAGGAATAAGAAATACAGGTGATCCCAAAGATTAGAGCTTTGCATTCGTACACATTTATAAAGAAATTCGTTAAGTGTTTTACAAATGTTGTTTTATCGACTGATACTTATTCAGAATCTCCCATATGATACGGTCGCCCTCTAAGATTCATGCAGAATATAAAAAAAAACATCCAACTAGCCTACACGTATATAGGCGACACCATTTTGGGACCAATTTATCTTTATTTCGCATATTTTTCGTTTTTTGCCTAAGTATGTGTAAAATCGCTCCAGGCATATTACAATAGCGGCAGCTGCTGGGAAAAAGCTAGGGTACTTGTCTAGGGCTAAGGAGTACTTTTCTCTTCATGACCCCTTCACTGTGTATAAGGCCCAAATAAGTCATAGTCTCGAGTAGCGGAATGGGGGCAGAGTGGATCAATTTTTTCCTCTCAGCTTCTACTGCTTGCAATATTAAAGCTATGTCGTACATTTCACTTACAATAGTAAGCTTCGAAATTGAACTATGACAAGTATTATCAAAACACCTAATAAAGAAAACATTTTTTTTAGAAACATTTTCTGGGGCACTATGGTTTTGAGGATCAACAGGGGGCACAGTGAATACCTACTATTATGCAATGTACTACATTACTATTGGACACATTTAAACGCAAGATATGCTTGATTGAAATAAAAAACATTTTACTTCATTAAAAATATATACAGGGTGTCCCAGAAGCCGACGTCAAGCCGAAACCGGGTGATAGGCAAAGTCATAACAGCTATCAGAAAAATATTTAAAAAAATTTTATGTATGTGTTTTGAAAATTATAGGTCTTTGAAACAAATATAGAAATTTCACACCCTACGGCAGTCTGTCAACTCCTGTTACTACAAATATTAACTTTTTTTGGATTTTATTTTTACAATGTAATGATGAATAATGCATCTTCAAACTGGTGTCTCAACTTTACAGCCAACTTT